CTGGGGGGGGGGGGGGGGGGGGGGGGGCTGCTAGGAGGGGCTGAGTGTGACAGGGGAAGTCTGGGCGCAGCCTCAGGCCCTCCCTGGGCCCTGCTGTCAGGCCCAGGACGCAGGCCATGCCTCTGAAAGGCCTTCCAGTCTGTTCCGTGGAGAGACCCTGGTTGGACTTTCCCAAGCGGATGCGAATGGCATCACAGTTTGCTTTTGCAGGAACATCCCCTGAAGGCCCTGCAGCGCGAGCGAGGGGAAGGCAGTGGGAGGTCGCAGGCAGTGAGCGGTGAGCAGTGGCTGGTTGCACAGCTGCTCAGAGCCTGCTGGGCCCCCTCTCCTGGTGGCTTCACACCAGGCCCCCCAGCCCTTTCATAGTACCCCGGGGAAGGGGAAGGTCTCCCCACCGTCCTCCTTAAAAATGAGAGGAGCCCGGCGGGAGTGGCTCAGTGGTTGAGCGTCGAACTATGAACCAGCAAGTTCTCTTGGGGGCGGTTTGAGCTGGAGATGTTAATAGAGCGTGCATATGTATCTGTGATTGATTAGACAATCTCTTTCCCAGAGTCAACCCTTGGAGGTGCTGCTGCTTCAAATTATGCAAATTCCACTTGGGGCCCGGGAGCCTCCTCCAACAACGGCACCTCCCCCAACCCAATTCACATCTGGGACAAGGTGATTGTAGACGGGTCTGACATGGAAGAGTGGCCTTGTATTGCCAGCAAAGACACTGAGTCTTCTTCCGAAAACACCACCGATAACAACAGTGCCTCAAACCCTGGCTCTGAGAAGAGCCCTCTGCCAGGAAGCACCACTAATAACAAAGGAAAAGGGAGCCAGTGCCAGAAAAAAAAATTAAAAAAAAAAAAAAGATTCCCAGGTGATTCTAATGTGCAGCCAAGGTTGAGAACCACTGGTTTAACTGCTGTGCTGTATGCCTGAAACCAATACAAAATAACACTGAATGTCAACTGTAATTGAAAAAGAAAAGAAAAACATGAGAGAAAACTTTAACCTGCGCTGCTCCCACTCACCAGTCCGTCACCTGAGACCAAGGGCCTGTGGAGAGTGTGGGGGCTAGCCAGCCCGGCCGGTGAGCAAGGCCTCTGGGGGGAGGGCCAGGGAGATCGCCGCACACTTGATTGGAAGAGGCCGAACTGTCCCCCCACCCTCCTCTCGCAGCTCTGAGTCTCCCGAAGAACAAAGGCCACAAGGAGGTCCCACCGAGCCTCCCCCCGTCCCCCTGGACTGGAGACGGGCCATCTTTATCTAATTACACGCTCCCTGCTCCCCAGCCATCAGGTGGGTGACTCACTCCCCCCGGGAGAGTGGCCAGTTTAAAATAACCCTCGGAGGTTAAGCACAAAAGGTATTTCTCGGGGGACTGCCACTGTGGACGCACAAAGGCCACATGCTAACCTGAGCAGCTCAGAGGGGGGCCGGCACGGAGGGTCCCACAGACTCAGAGACCAAGAGGAACCACAGCGCGGCCGGTGGGAAATGGAAACTTCCGGACAAACAGCATTCCAGGCGGTGGTTGTGCCTGGGCTGGGCCTGGCCCTGACAAAGGTCAACCTTGACCTCCAAGCCTGTTGTCTGTTTTTGCATCTGCAGTGGCGCACCTGGAGGCTCACCTCTCCAGGATCGAGGTCATTTTTTCCCCTAACAAAGGTCAACCTTTGCCTCAGCTCAGCCTCTTTTTTTTTTGCACCTACAGTAGCGCACCTGACCGCACCCCCGCAGCGTTTTACCGGTTAATCACTGCCGCTCACTGCCTGCACCCGCACCCCCTGTGTAAAGGAGCACGTGTCCTCACTACTTTGTATCCAGGCCCAGGGGTTTCCCACTCTCCCGGCCCCCTGGTCCAGCACCAGTGATGTCATGTCGCCCTCGCGTCTTCCCCTTGGGTTCTGCTGCAGAGTCAGGGGTAAGCATCCTCCCGAGCATTCTCTCAGGCCCTGGAAACTGTCGTCAGTTCCGGCGGCTGTCGTCAGTTCGGATGAAATCAACTCAAAAAGATTCCTGCAGGTTTGGACGTTTCTTGCGTGGGCACCACGCATCGCTCGCAGCACCTGCACGGCACACGCAGCCGCTCTCAGAAAACCCTGCGTGCGTTCGTACAACGAGGCAGGTTCGGTTCTTAGAAGCGGTGCCAGGAGGAAAACACCCAGGAAATCGCGGGACCCCCAGCCCTTCACCCGCTGCCTCTGTGGGGAAGGGAGACGGCGCCCCCCGCAGCCTTGGGAGTCCAACCAATGGCTGGGCTGGCTGGTGACTGCACCTGGCTCCTCCCACCCCGGCAGGTGGGGCTCCTAGCGGTGCTTGTTTGTAAGTGACCCCGCAGCGCTGCCTGCTCTGCTTCCCCCAGCACTGTCTCCCCACGTCGCGGCCTGGCTCGGGGCCTCCTTCGATTGTCTGAGGCTGTCCCGAGAAGATGAAAATAACCTTTCCTTTCTGGGCTGCCCCTTTGATTCCGCCCCCTCGGGGAGCAGACGCGACTTCCTGTGTTTGGACGGCTCGCCCAGACGGGGCTATTTCAGGCCGGGTCAGCCCGGTGGTTTCCGCGGCTCCCTCGCCCTTTATCTTAAAAGACCATCTTTGGTGTCAGCGGCTGCACCCTTTGATGGCTGCCAGCGGGGGGCCTCCCTGAGGGTTGACAACCCATTGTATTGGTTCCTGGGACCCCACAGGCACCGGAAACCCAATGTGCCCGCATGGGGGGGCGGGGCGGTAAGCATCCGCTGGGATGGGGCAGGGGAGAGTCCAAATGTGGCTGAAGGACCCAAAGCTCGTGCCCGACCTGGCCTGGGACTGCGTGACCACTGAGTGCGGGGCCCTGGGGCGTCCTCTGACGAGTCCTCCTTGGCGACGGGGAAACTGAGGCCCAGAGAGGGGCCCGGGTGTGTCTGAGTCACGCGGCCGGCAGAATTGAGCCCACGACTCAGGTCTCCAGACCTTAGCCCTGGCGGGGTCCCTCCCCCCGCCCCACATACTAAACGACCAGCTTGGGGGGTGGGGGGGGCCCAGGCGGGTCCCACAAGCTCAGAGACCGAGAGGAACCTCCCGGGATGGTCTGAAATTAAAGCTTCCTCCCGAGGAGCCGCTCCTGGCGGGTAATCACGTCCCAGGCTGGCATTTTCCCTGGCAAAGCTCCGCGGCGGCCTCCCTGAGCCTGTCTCTTGTTGCATCTACAGGACACACCTGCTGCCACCCCTTTGCAAGTCAGAGACCTGTTTTTCCCTGACAAAGGTCAGTCTTTACCTCAACGGAGCCTGTGCACTGTCTGTTTTATTTTTAATTTTAATTTTATTTTTTGCATCTACAGTAGCATACCTGGTAATTATTTCTCCCTAACAAAGGTCAGTCTTTTGTCCGTTGTCTTGTTTGCATCGAGGAGAATAACATACCTTTGGAATTTCGCAGTCATTTCCTTTTTCCGGACCCTCAAAGCACAACCAGCGCAGAGGGGGAGACCAGGCCGCAGGTCCGCGCCGCCTTACCCCGTGCCAATTGCGAACCGCTGACCAGCACCCACCCACGTGAAAGAAGTGCGGCCGTGTCCGCTCGGCAAACTTGTAACCCAATCTCAGGGTGTCCCGTCTCCCCCACCTATCGCCGCTGGATCTCTTGTAACCCACTGACGCCTGCTTCTTTGACTGAAATGTATAAAATAAGGGGCAAAACTATTTTATACTAAAACCCAGGCCTCCGACCTCCTGCTCAGATCCACAGGGCGGGAGAGGGTGTGGGCGGCATGGCCAGACCGGCGCACCCCGTCTCCAGGCCTCACTGACCCAGACCCCTCCCCAGAGGCCCCTGGCCCGGGCAGGGGCACCTCCTACCTGGCCTTGTGCGTCCTGTTCCCGGCCGAGGCGGGGAGGCTGGCGCTCCCGTTGGGGAAGGGGACCTCGGAGGAGCTGTTGGTCACTCGGTCATTGCTCAGCTCCAGGTAGGACCCGTTGAGCAGGTAAGCGCCGGGCCCCTCGCTCTCGTCGTAGTCCACATAGAGGCTCTCGGCCGGGGCTCTCCGGGGCAGGCCCTGCCCGAAGAATCTGTGGACCATCTCGGTGAAGTTGAGATCCTTGGAGTCGGCGCCTGGGGCCAGGATGATGAAGGCCGGGATGTACTCCGGGGAGGGAAGGTGGGCGTCGGCCTCTTGGTCATCCTTGTCCGCTGGGGGAGCTGCCCTCGTGGCGTTGCCATCTGCAAGGGAGATGGTGGCTCAACTTCAAGCAGCCCCTCACATGGCGGGGGGCGGGGGGGGGCAGGGGTGAGACCTGGGGCTGAACCTGGAAGCTCCTAGAGGCAGGTCTCTGCCCCATGAGAGACCACATTCGGAGGGTAGCCCAAAAGCTAGCCTAGGTGATCGGTGGGGAGTCTGCAGTGGGTCGAAGGGGGTCCCCCCAAATTCATGTCCACCCAGAATCATATCTTAGGATATGAGCTTATTTGGAAACTAGAGGCCCGGTGCATGAATTTGTGCATGGGCCAATCGGGCCGGGCTGGCTGGGGGGAGGGGCCACAGGCAGTTGGCAGGCTAGCCCCACCCCCTGGTTGAACCCCTGGTCAAGAGAACAATTTGCATATTAGCCTTTTATTATATAGGATAGGATCTTTGTCAGCCTAGTTAAGGGTCTGGAGGAGATCACCCAGATGTCAGGTGGGGGCCTCCATCCAATGACTGCCATCCTTGCAGGAAGAGGAGGGCACCGAGGCAGTCTCCGAGGAGCAGGCAGAGCCTAGAGGGATGCGGCCGAAAGCCAAAGACGCCTGGCACCCTCAGAACTGGGGGGAGGGGGCAGGAAGGACCCTCCCCTGGAACCCCGACAACTTGGTTTGGGGTTTGTGGCCTCTAAAAGTGGGAGAGAACCCATCTCTGTTGACCTGGGCCACCAGTGTGTGATCGCTTATTACGGCGGCCCCAGGACACTGACATGACCTTCCACGGAAAGATGCTGAGGGGCTTGGAGACCTGCTCCCCAAGTGAGTGAGGGGAGTCTCCCCAGGTCTGGTCCACCCTCCTCCCTCGGAACAACCCTGCTGAGCTGTGGCCGTCGGAATTGGCAGCATGGATCTTGGGGACCCTGACCCCAGTTCCCCACCACATCTCCACCCACACTTCCTGCCTCATCCTCGTCCCCACCTCTCTTTCCTGCCCTCAGCCGGCCAATCCTTCCCTGTTCCCAAGCCCTCAGATCAGGAGTCATCCCTGCCCCTCAGCTGCCCGCTATCCCCTTCCACAGCTCCTGCCCCACTTGGGGTGGTGGCTGTCTGTCTGTCCGTCCGTCTCTACCAGATCAGCAAGAGCAGGGGTGATGGGGTCAGACTGTCCTGGGTTGGACTCCCACTTCACCACGGTGGTCTGTGTGACATGAGTCCTCCCTCTCCTAGCCTCAGTCTCCCCATCTGTCAAGTGGGGACAAGCGCACCCACCTCAAAGAACGAACGTCAGAAGACGGGCGTACGCGAAGGCCTAGCCCTGTGCCCGCCCGGCACACCTGCACGGAACCAGCACCTCTGGTCGGGCTCCTCTGCAGTCTGGGGGACTGAAGGCCCTCCCC